CCCACGTCTCTCCACGTCTCTCGCTCCGATGCGCGTACTCCCCACTCTCTCTCTGGTTCCGCCCTCTCGTCTCTTTCTCCTCCCTCCCTGCCCTCCTCTCTCCCTCCCACTCGCTGTTTCCCTATTTATCAGTCCACTTTCTTATCTGTGTTGTATATAGTTGCTAATTCCGTCAATTCCTCAGTGTTTTCCCCGTGTAAAATAATGACAATAGGTATCATTTGTATAATTAAATGTCTGATGTCTGAATTCTGTAGTTTAGGGTCTCTTTCAACCATCGGAGTGAACTGTATTTTATTTTTACGCGATGAATCGGTTAAAACATTCTTAAAATTGTGATCAATATTCACGTATTTATTCTGATGGTAGTTGGGACAAAAAGTATTCTTCACGGTATGTGGGCGTGGTTTGTTATTTGTTAAGAAAATCTGACATTCATTTAATTTTCACATGTAGGCAAGTGAATTTGACATGAACACGTATGAATATGGATAATATGTTTCTTTATGCAGATATACAGTTCAAAAAACAGAAATACAAATAGAAAATACTTTTGGATGAAATATCATATCTGTCTCATCTACAGTTCTTATTAATTGTGGTTTTCTTTAATTAAATACTACACCACAGGTACACTATAGAAAATAAGATTATAATGTGGTTGAAAAGTTGTTTAATATGGTTAGTAAAAAGTCTTATAATTGATCAGATTTTAGCAGAGATAGCTAGATAGCTAGCTAGCTAGCTAGCTAGATAGATAGATAGATAGAGAGATAGCAGACAGACAGACAGGCAAATAGACAGAGAGACAGACAGATAGACAGAGGCAGAGAGAGAGAAAAGAAAAACAACAACAAAAAGAATGATAAAACAATTAAAAAAAAAAAACCTAAAAAAACTGAAAAAAACAACAACAATAACAAACCAATTTCTCCCTCCTAACCCCTCCTCCCCCCCTCCCCCATCCCCCCACTCTCCCCCTCACCCCACCAACCCCTCAACCCCCCCCAAAAAAAAAAAAAAAAAATCCCCCGACTCTCTCTCAGTCGACGCAACATCAGACGCTCGCTGTCGACTCTCGCTTAAAAAAAAAAAAAAAAAAAAAAAAAAAAAAAAAAAAAAAAAAAAAAAAAAAAAAAAAACTTGCAAATTGCGTCTTTGATGACAGGAAAGAGCATCAGGTATTGCATCGGAAACGCAAGGCGGTTGTTGTTTAAGGAAAAGGACGGGAAGGAGGAAGGAGGAAGAAGGAGGAAGGAGGAAAGGAGGAAGGGGGAGGGAAGGAGGGAGGGAGGGAGGAAGGAGGGAGGGAGGAGGAGGAGGATAGGAGAGAGGAAGGGGAGGAAGGAGGGAGAGAGGAGGAGGGAAGGGAGGAGAGAGGACGAAGGAAGGAAGGAGGGAGGGAAGGAGGAGGAGGAAGGAGGGAGAGGAAGAGAGGAGGGAAGGGAGGGAGGGGAGGGAGGGAGGAGGGGAAAGGAGGGAAAGAGGTAGGGAGGAGGAGGAGGGACGGAGGGAAGGAAGGAGAAGAGGAGAGAATGGGGGAGGAAGAGGGAAGGAGGGGAGGGAGGGTGGAGGAGAGGAAGAGGGAGGGAGGAAGATCGGGGAAGAAGGGAGGGAAGGGAGAGAGAGGAGGGAAGGAGGAGGAGGAGGGAGGAAGATGGGGGAGGAGAAGGAGGAGGAGGGAAGGAGGGAGGGAGGAGGGGGAAGGAAGGGAGGGAAGGAGGTGAGGAAGAGGGGAGGAAGAAGGAGAGAAGGAGGAGGGAGGAAGAAGAAGGGAAGGAGAAGAATGGGGGAGGGAGGGAGAGGGGGGAGAAGGAAGGAAGGAGAGGAAGGAGGAGGAAGGAAGGAGAAATGAGGGAGGAAGAAGGGGAAGGAGGAGGAGGAGGAGGAAAGGAAGGACGGAAGAAGAGGAAGACAGAGGAGAAGGAGGAGGAGGAGGAAGAGAAGAGGAGGAACAAGAAGAGGAGGAGGAGGAAGAGAGAAGGAGGAGAAAAATAGAGGAGGAGTAGGAGGAAGTGGAAGAGGAGGAAGAAGAGAAAGGAAGGAGGAGGAGGAGAAATAGACAAGAAGGAAGAGAGGAGAAAAAATGGAAAAATTAAAGAAGGGAAGAGGGAAGAGAGAAAGGAGAGGAAAATGAAAAATAAAGAGGAGAACTGGACAGAGGGAAGAGAAAAGGAGAAGGAGAAGAAGATGATGATGAAGAAGAAGAAGAAGAAGAAGAGGAAGAAGAAGAATAATGAAGGAGATTAGAAGAAGATGAAGAGGATATGAAGGAAGAAGGAAGAAAAAGAAAGTAAGCAAAGTAAAAAAAAGAGGAAAAGAAAAAAGAGAAGAAGCGAGAAGAGATGAAGAAAAAATGAAGGGAGAAAAGAGAAGTACGAAGAAGAAGAAAGAAGAAGAAAAGAATAAGAAAAGAGAAAAAAATAGAAAAGGAAAAGAAGAAAAAGAGAGAAAGGGAAAAGAAAGAAAAGAAAAGAAGAAGGAGGAAAGACAGAAAAATGTTTCACAAGTACGTCATCAAAGAAGAAAAGAAGAAGAGGACAATGAAGAAAACAGAAAAAGAAGAGAACAGAAGTAAAGAAAAAAGAAGTAATAAAAAATAAATAAAAATAAAAATAAAAAAATAATAAAATAATAAAAAGAAAAAAAAGAAGAATAAAAGGAGAGAAGAAGAAGAAGAAGAGAGAGAACGTCTCCACGAGTGACGTCATTGCCAGCTCTCTCTCCAAGTCGACGCTGATTCTAAGATGATCAAAGGAAGGCGAAAGAGGTCGCTGTTTTTACGTAGAGGAAGAACAGGAAATGATGATGAAGGAGCAGGAAAAGCAAGAGGGAGGAGGAGGAGGAGGAGGAGGAAGAGGAGTGGTGGTGGTGGAGGAGAGGAAGTGGTGGTTGAAAGAGGAGGAAGAGAGGAGAGAGGAGGAAGAGGAGTGAGGAGGAAGGAAGAGGTGGTGTGGTGGAGGAAGGGAGGAGGAGGAGGAGGAGGAGGAGGAGGGAAAGAGGTGGTGGTGAGGTGGTGATGGTGGTGGTGGGTGGAGGGAGGAAGAGGAGGATGAAGAGGAGGATTGAGGAGGAGGAGGAGGAGGAGAGGAGGAAGAGGGTGGTGTGGTGGTGGAGGAGAGAGGAGGAGGAGGAGGAGGTGAGGAGGAGGAGGAGGTGGTGGTGGTGGAGGAGGAGGAAGGAGGGGGTGAGAGGAGAGGAGGAGAAGGAGAAGAGAATGAGAGGAGGAGGAGAGGAAGGAGGAGAGGAGGAGGAGGTGGTGGTGGTGGAGGAGGAGGGGAGGAGGAGGAGGAGAGAAGAGAGGCAAGGATGGAAGAGAGGTGGTGGTGGTGGAGGAGAGGAGGAGGAGGAAGAGAGGTGGTTGGTGGAGGAGAGGAGGAGGAGGAGGGGGAGGAGGAGGAAGAGGTGGTGTAGGTGAAGGAGGAAAGGAGGATGAAGAGGAGGAGCGAGGAGGGAGAGGAGGAGAGGAAGAGGTGGTGATGTTGTGGAGGAGGAGGGAGAGGAAGAAAAGGAGAGAGAGTGGTGGGGAAGGGAGGATGATGATGAAGAGAATGAGGAGGAGGAAAGAGAAGAAGAAGAAGAGGAGGAGGAGGAAGAAGAGGTGGTGTGGTGGTGGAGAGAAGGAGGAAGAAGAAGAGGAGGGGGAAGGAGAAGAAGAAGAAGAAGAAGAGGAGGAGAAAGAGGAGAAAGGAGGAGGAGGAAACTGAGAAGAATGAGGAGACGAAAGAGAGGAGATAAGGAGTAGAAGATGATGAAGAAGAAACAAAAAAGAAAAAGAATAAGAATAAGGAAGAGAGAGGATAAGAGGAATATACGAAAGAAAAAAGACTGAAAAGAAGAAAATAAAAGAAAAAATCATAAGAAAAAATAAAAAACAAAGAAATAAAAAGAAATGAAGAGAAAAAGACCAATAAAGAGAATAGAGACAGCAACGATAAGCAGTAATATAAAAATATGGAGATAACGCCAATGATAATGATGAAAAATAAAAAATAAAATACACGAGTGATAAAAAAACGAAAGGAAAAGGAAAAAGACAACCAAAAATTAGGAAAAGTGAAGAAATATGAAAACATAAAAAGCCTAGGAAAAGCAAGACAAAATTAAGATATGAAATATCAAGAAATAAAGAAAAAGAAAAATAGAAAATAATGATGATAAAAGAACAGAAGAGGAAGAAACAAACAACAATAAAAAGAAAAAACAGAAGAATGGAGAGGAGAGAAAGAGGAGAGGAAAGAGAAAGAGAGCGAGAGAAGAGAGAGAGAGAGAGAGAGAGAGAGAGAGAGAGAGAGAGAGAGGAGAGAGACATGACAGACAGACAGGAGCAGACAGACAGACAGAGAAGCGAGAGAGAGAGAAAGAAAGAAAGAAAGAAAGCAACAGCGAAAAGAAATAAAAATAAAAAGAAAGAGAAAAACAAAGATACGGAAAGCAAAGAATTAATTAAAANCTCTCTCTCTGTGTGTGTGGTGTGTGTGTGTGTGTGTGTGTGTGTGTGTGTGTGTGTGTGTGTGTGTGTGTGTGTGTGTGTGTGTGTGTGAGTGAGTGAGTGAGTGAGTGAGTGAGTGAGTGAGTGAGTGAGTGAGTGAGTGAGTGAGAGAGAGAGAGAGAGAGAGAGTGAGTGAGTGAGTGAGTGAGTGAGTGAGTGAGTGAGTGAGTGAGAAGAGAGAGAGAGGGGGAGAGGGAGAGGAGAGGGAGAGGGAGAGGGAGAGGGAGGGAGAGGGAGGGAGAGGGAGAGAGAGAGAGAGAGAAGAGAGAGAGAGAGAGAGAGAGAGAGAGAGAGAGAGAGAGAGAGAGAGAGAGAGAGAGAGAGAGAGAGAGAGAGTGTGGTGTGTGTGCGTGTGTGTGTGCGTGTGTGTGTGTGTGTGTGTGTGTGTGTGTGTGTGTGTGTGTGTGTGTGTGTGTGTGGTGTGTGTGTGTGTGTGTGTGTGTGTGTGTGTGTGTGTGTGTGCAGACATTTGTATGTTTAGGTATATATACATCATGTACATGAATGTATGTATATAAGTATTAGTGATATGCCATATAATAAAAAATATTGTATTTAATACACAAACAGAACATTATTTCCAATCTACTCTCCTTATTCTAACCACTGTTTCTACCGCAAATGACAGCGCTTGGGTCCACAAGATTCACAAAAGCGAGCGCTCACCCGCGGACGGCCCTCCAGCAGGTGAACACGCACCCTAGTAGAATACTATGAACCTCGGCGGTATAAATGGTAAACATTTGGCAAAACTAAATCATTTTCCATATACATGCGAATGCCAATGGTTGACATTCGAAATGCATTCATTCTTATGAAAAGCGAAAAGAAATAACGGCACTGCTTATATCTGTCTCCCCAAAGTCTATATTGACCTCGCTGTTCACACAGTTAGTATTTCGCTTTCTCTAAGATAATATACGTCACTAAAATTTCAAACGCTATCAGAATAAAATCTGACGAGACGATAATGCACTCACTATCACAGCTTGGGACTTGTTTGCTCCGTGCCAGCGCCAGCAGACACTGTGGCCTGTGACCCGTGACCGGTATT